TATTATGTTTAATGTATGTACCAAATTTGAACAAAATCCGTCCATGCATAACTGAGATCCATGTCCGGAATGGTGAAATTGTGCGATTTTGATGCATTTTCGGCCTTAAAATGGCCGCTATTCGGCTATCGTTAATCAGATCATGAAAAAAATGCATGTGCATATGTCCCATATAATGTGTGATGTATGAGTAAAGTTTGAACTTAATCGGTCAATGCATGTTCGAGATACAGGTGATCACGGACGCACGGACGGACACAGGGCAAAACATAAGTCCCCGTTTTCGGACTGCGTCCGAACGGGGACTAAAAATGTTAAATACAATGTTGCAAAAATTGTCCACTTTTTGAGCATTTCAGCACATATAACTATCTGACTAAGTTCGAGACAAAAATGTTTTAACATGCCAAAAATGCACAAAAATGGGAGAAGAAACTGTCTAAAAATGTGTAATGTGTAAATGCCGTCTTGACTAAGACCTACATAAAAAATGTTTCAACAAGGAAAACTGCACATTAAAAAAATGTTGACACAAACGAATACAGGTATGTACAATTATGTCATTTTTGGTGTAAATAACGTAATGTTCAATTTTACCTGTACTACCGGTAGATTCTAGAACATTTTGGGGTTCTATGGTGCAAATATTTCATATTGGCTCTTTGTAGGCAATACCTTAGCAGATAGGGCTCTGAACAAGTTTATGTATGTATGCATGCATGCCAATGACCAGTTCAAGGTACATTTTGGTGCATTTTTGTACCCAAAAAGGCTGCCACCAGTTACTATCTTGAATCACATAGTGAGTGATACAAATGCATGTGCATACAGACAACATGATGCATATTAAATGTGATTGGTTTCAGGCATGTCATAGTTATAGCTGTGAACATCAGATGAGGTCAAATCAAAAAGTTCACTATTTTGAACTACCCACTAGGACAACATATATCCCTAAATCATATATTTAACCATTCTTACCCAAAATTTTTAGTCATTTTGTCACTGATATCAGGCTTTTTTTTCTTGACAAAGTCCACAATTTTACCATACAGTACACTGAGTTTGACACCTGTATAACAGACAAAAAGAAAAGACATATTAAATGATGTATACAATCCAGCTATCATTATTAGCATTGTCCACAAAAGAAAATCATCCAATTTGTTCATTAATTTGCGACAAAGATTCTTGAATTTTCTGCATTTTCGTTTTGTGTAAATTTGGAAATAAACTAGCCAAAAGTTATGTGGTGTTCTACTCCTTATATAACACTCCATTAAGAGCTATCAATCAATCGATCAAACAACTTATCTAAATGCCAATATCCAATACAAATTATTATTCACAGGGCTAAACAAAATATGAATGTTAGAATGTCTTATCTAAAAAGATTATATTACCCGATTCATATTTATACAAATGCACACTACTGGATGTTAACAAAGTTGTGTGAAAATAAAACACTAATAGCTAGTTTAAAATACTGTGACCGAGCTCATTAATATTCAGATAGCTCATTAATATTCATGAGCGACCAGCACTCCCATTGGACTGGCGAATTCCCTAAAAAGTGACCACACTTTTGACTAATATCTAATGGTGGCCACTATAACTTTCATTTTCATTGCAGACTTGGCTCTTTGGATACGAGTTAACAGACACTGTCATGGTGATCTGTGAAAAACAGATATATTTCTTGACATCCAAGAAGAAGGTAGAGTTTCTGAATACAAAATGAACATTTGTATCATAACTAGGCATTACTGAAGTGGTGTATAGCGAGAGGAACACAGCATAGATTCTAGGCTGGAAATGAACTAAATGATTTGACATTGATTGTAGAATTTTATAAAAGTTTGTAAAAGTCAAGTAAGTAGAACAAGAAATACAAAATGTGCGAACGTAGCAACAAGTACATAGAAACTGACCATGTTGTAACTGCTTAATGATTTCTTCTTCCACTTCTAACAGGAAGTTATAATTGTCTTGCTGACTCTGTGTAGGGTCGACCAGCAATGTACGCACTATGTTAGAACAATAGGATTTGTAACGTATTCCCAAAGCACAGGTCACAGTACCAAAGTGGAGTTTTGAGTCATCACTGAGGAGAAAAAAAACCATGCATGTTAAGAATATTGACCCATCAGCTAATAATAACGACCTACCAACGGCAAATATTGACCCACCAGCTAATAATAGTGATCTATCAACAGCAAATATTGACCCATCAGCTAATAATAATGACCTACCAACAGCAAATATTGACCCATCAGCTAATAATAGTGACCTATCAACAGCAAATATTGACCCATCAGCTAATAATAGTGACTTATCAACAGCAAATATTGACCCATCAGCTAATAATAGTGACTTATCAACAGCAAATATTGACCCATCAGCTAATAATAATGACCTACCAACGGCAAATATTGACCCATCAGCTAATAATAGTGACCTATCAACAGCAAATATTGAGCCATCAGCTAATAATAGTGACTTATCAACAGCAAATATTGAGCCATCAGCTAATAATAGTGACTTATCAACAGCAAATATTGACCCATCAGCTAATAATAATGACCTACCAACAGCAAATATTGACCAACCAGCTAATAATAGTGACCTATCAACAGCAAATATTGACCCATCAGCTAATAATAGTGACCTATCAACAGCAAATATTGACCCACCAGCTAATAATAGTGACCTATCAACAGCAAATATTGACCCATCAGCTAATAATAGTGACCTATCAACAGCAAATATTGACCCATCAGCTAATAATAGAGAAAAATACTTGCCTGATAACACTGAATTTCAAATTGTAATTGCCTCCACTCTGAATGATAGCCGGATAACATACTTCTAAAACCGACGAATCTAGGTTACCAACTATCTTCTTCTCTTCTAAAGCTTTCTCCACACCGTCTGCTAACTTAGAATGCCGAACTCGCTGTTCAAGAGTAAACAAAAAAGCATTTCACAAATACAACGCATCTAGGTGAGGTCAATTTTAAAGAGCTACGGATACTGCAACATTCTAGTTTCAAACATACGCAACTGTAAATCAAAGGACATTGTTAAACAATTTTTGAGCCAAGACAATACTTGTGAATAATTTGTGAACAATTTCTTGTTGTCACAATTATCTAACCTTATCGGAGTCCACAGCTTCCATGACTTGCTCTTTCAAATATTTACCAAACACGTCGCATGTCAAGGAACAGGCTTTTTTCACCATAGCAATTTCACTGTCCTCTTTCACAGCCATTATATATGCGGTTGATGATGATATGTCAATCTGAAAAAAAAAAAAAAAAATAGACATTTAAAGAAAGTTTATAAAAAACAAATCATTGTCAATGACACGTCCCCGTTCAGTTCATATTTGAGTGACATATACATTCAAAGCAGCAACAATATGGATGTTGAACTGCATTCAGTAAAACAAAATAGCCACCAGTCAGCCATTTTCAACACAATCCAAACATTTTTTTTAACTAAACGCATGACTAAGATTCAGTTCCGGTATGGTGAAAATGTGCAATTTTGGTGAATTTTTGACCTTAAAAGGACTGGCCCAAATGCACAGGCATATGTATGCTATAATGTATGATGTGTATGTGAAGTTTGAACTTGATCTGTCCAGGCATGTCCGAGATATGGATCGAAAACTAAATTCTTTAAAACAGTCGGCCATTTTGAACTTGATCCGAAGAAAAATTGGTGTGCATCAAGCTTATATTATGTTTAATCTGAACAAAATCCATCCATGCATGACTGAGATCCGGCTCTGGAATTGTGAAAATACGTGATTTCAATGCATTTTCGGCCTTAAAGCGGTTGCCATTTGGCTATCGTTAATGAGATCATGAAACAAATGCACATACATATTTGTGACATGATGTACCTTGTGTGTGTGAAGTTTGAACTCGATCAATCCAGGCATGTCTCAGATCCAGATCCAGAACTGAATTCTTTAAAACAAAATGGCCGCCAGTTGGCCATTTCAAACCCGATCCAAAAAATGACGTGCATCAAGGTC